ATTTAATATATATTATATATAATATTATACTTATATTATATTTATTAATAATAATAAAAGTGGCAGTGCACCAAAAGGTAAATAATAATCCAATCCACAGATATTTTGTGCTCTATAACAGATACACTTTTATGGCAGCTGATTAAGAGTAATTTAATTCATACATAGCAGATAAAATCTGTTCAGTTTCTGAAAATTAACATTCTGAAAGTTGATTTCACCAGTAAATAGCTGAAAAAATAGAACTAAACCATTTCAGATAGACACTTTTTCAGTATGAACTCTGTAATGGTTAATTTGTAAATCATTAACAGTTTTATAAATTCTCCATCAAAGAATCAATGTACTACTATATGTGCTGTCTGTTTTTACTTGCATTATTTAAAGTTCGTTAGTAACAATTTTAATGACTGAGGGACATAACTAATCACATTTTTGATCATGAACATGTTCTCATATTTTTTGCATTCTATGCATATGCAAAAATTATTTTTGGAAATTGCTCATGTTGATTTAAAGTTGATGAAGCATTGCTAAAAGTATGCTCATAAAATTGTGGTTGATATATATCGTCTTTGTGGAGAACATCCCTTATATTTGGAAAATATCAGAATGCTGTTGCTTCCAGCATTTTAATTATTTCAGATTTTGGCTTTGCTCAACGTGCATACCTGCGTGGTTTTGTTTTGTCTATGCACTGCAGGAATATCTTTTTTTTAATAAATCTTTTTTTTTTTTCTCCTAGGCCTGAATAATAACTTCATACAGTATGTATGTAAAACTGGACAATCACCTTGTGTGAGGGCTATCACTTGATTAGATTTTCTTTTGGATAACAAAAGAAGCCAAGTATAGAAGGATGAAAGTAGAAGTAAAGCAGAAGTTTAAAAAAAAATGTACTTTTTGTACTTCTGTTTTGCACTTTTGGCCATTCCTAGCCTTAAATTCTTATCTATTCCTAAGCAGTAAACAACTTTAAAAGAAAAGGTTTCTTTTCTATTATCAACAATTCTAAATCATAAATGAAGAGAGAGAGAAAGAGAATTTTTAAGTGATCTAGTCAAAGAAGCAGAATTCAAGGAAGAACTGTAAGATTTTGAGGATGTCTACAGCAACAGCAATAAACCACTGAAAAAAAATGAAGTTACTTAGATAGTAGTGAAGAAGCTGTTCTTGAAACTGTCTTTGAAGAAAGCTAAAAATGTAAACTAGAAAAACAACCATTACAGACTCAGTTGATATGTTACTCAAAGATGACAGTTATTTTGCTTTCTGTATAAAGCTGAGGAATGTGAAAGACAGGAAATTACTAAATATGAGAAGCTTATGCTTTTTATTAAAATGAATTTCCAAAACCAGAGCTTGCTGTTGAATGTTACCATTTTAATACTACATCTGTAGTAGTATGTATTAAAAAATGTGGCTGCCACTAACATTTACCCCAGATGAGGAGTGGTACACTGGATTACAATTTAATTACTACTGAAATTACGTTATAGATTTTCTTTTATATGTAACTGGGAAACCAAGCAGTGAATGTTATTTTTTAAGTTAATATCCACTAAACCATGAAGTTATAATACACGGGTCTCATGTTTAGTTATCTTTAGTAAGTCTGCTGCCTTTTACACTGTCCGTGTTATTATTTCTCCTAGATTTTGAAGAAAGCCAGATTTTGATTGGATTATTCTTATCTGTATTTACCTATTGTAAACTAAGTTTAGATAGGTCAGTCTCTAATAGTCATTGAAAGACAGAAATTTCATGTGATAATTCATCCCAATTGTAGATGGTTTAGGATGGTCTTTAAGTCTTCTCCCATGACACTAAGAAACTCTGATGATAATTTTATACTTAAACTTTAACTTCCAAGTAGCCAGGTGAGATAAATTTCACCTGGTATATTCGGAATCTGCTGTGTACCTTTTGTGAGAAAGAATTGTATAATGAAAGGATGGCTCATAGCATTAGCATACTTTTTATCCTGAAAGCAAGTGTTCAATGATTGTTATGGTGTGACTGATAGAAGCTTCTTTTTTTGTTTGGCATTATCAGGATTAACTATAATTAAAGAATTATACAATAAAATTTATTTAGATTATGGAATGTCACAGCATCTTAGCTTTCCATAGTTGAGTATAATAAAGAATTATTTATTTTTAAAATATTAGAGTTCTGTGGCTTTGTGGGCTTATAAATGGCCTATTAATTCCGCTTAAATTAAAGAAAAAGAGCAAAAGTGCTGTAACAACAACGAGAAAAATAATGAAAAAAATTGCACTTCATACTTCTACTTTGATTTAAAATTTATAACAAAATTCAGAATTTACTCTTTTCTGTAAAAGCTCGCAGTATAATTATAATGTAAATGTTTTATATGTATACATAAATAAACATGCATGTATAAAAATATATTCAAGTAGCTTGAGTTTTTTGTGTATTGACATGTGTATATTTTATCCATTCCTATAGTACTGCTACTAGCTGTGGACTTCAGTATATTAAACACTGTAAAAGCAAGGTAAAGAAAAAATCCTCCCCAGAATAGCTCGGTGTAAAGTGGAGGTAATCAGATGCATTTTACTTGAATAAAATAACAGTGAATGATAAGCAGATAGAAAATGATTGAAAACAGTGATCTAAAAATGTCTTTGTATACATTTTTTACTTCAAAATTGCCATCTAGTATTTCTTATGTTTTTACACCTATTTTATTTTTATTCTATTTGCAAATTTCTGAGTTGAAATCCATAGACTGGTAATACAATTTTACTTCTAGATGGGGTGTAGTTACTGTATTTTTGAATACAAGATACTGTATTTTTGAAAATTCATTTTGCATATTGTTATCCTTCTGTATTGTAAGTCTGTAGTCTCGTTGGATTGTTTTTCTTTTTTATATCCACAGTGAAAAATGAAGAGAGGCATTTGACAAGTCACAGGTGGCCTAAGCAATGACCTATGTTGCAGTTATCCATTTATGCAAGTTTTATATAACTTTTTTTTTTGGCTATCAACAGACAAAAAGTTTTCTGTAGTACCCTGTATTCTGTAAACCCATGAATTTTTAGTGTATGACATATTTAACAGTAGTATCATTTATTCTGGTACTCCATTCCTCTCCCTCCCATTTTTAACTTGCATATTTCTACTTATTCATTATCTCTTTTGTTCATTTTTATATATATATGTATATATATACTTAGCAGTCTAAGAAATATATATTAGTCTTCTGAACACTAGTTAAAAATCAAAACTACTGTAAAATGCTGGGCTTTAAGAGGGAATACTGAAATGAGAAAATTATGCCATAACTCAAAGTAATTTTTTAAAAAATAAGTTTTTAAATGGGAATGATACAAGAGATGAAACAATGTTGCTGGACAGAGCTCTTCTTTACTAATAAGTTTATTTTCTCTGTACTAATAAAAATCACTCTTCTAGATTTGATTACTGTTCAGTTACAATCTCCTGTCTTTTGAGTATGCTTGCCTCCCCATCAGCAAGATTCTCATAGCTGCAATCATAGGTAAATTTATTGGATTACACTTGTCTTCTGAGTTAACAAAAAAAAAAAAAAAAAAAAAAAAAAAAAAAAAAAAGCAGCAAGTTGGACTGCTTTAATAATCTCAGGTTATAACCCTAATTAAGTTAGGTCCATTCCTACTACATCTGAAATGTCTAGAAAACTACTGTGACTAAGCAGTACTAGATAGTAACGTGGTATTAAGCCCTTAGGACACTGTCCAAATTGTCATTATAATTTCAGGCTTTCCCTGTGGGACTGTCTCATTCATTCAAATGAACTGAAAGTTGTACGAGAAAACATGAAATAATATAATTTTCTCAGGAATTAATTTTTTTAGCATTCTAAGCAAGATGCCAAATCCCCAGGTCTAGGCAGGCAACGAATATTCAGTACTAATCCTACGAATTACTTTCTGTCACATCTCATGCATTGTCAGAGCGGTCTTATGTCATCGGATGCAATCTTTTGCAATCCTGGTTGGATAGATGAGGACAAAGTTACCACTTTACTCTAATGTGAACAACTGCATTTGGTCAAATGCTTGATTCCCCAGATTCCAGTGATTGGTTGTTGATTACAGAGTTACAGTAACTATAATGGAATTCTCAATATCTGAATTTAGGTATCTTTTATTCTCTAAATTGGTACTAGCTAGTAATATCGGATTAATGCCATATTCACTGGAATTCATAAATTCAAAAAATATGTTAACTTTTAGAACTTTATGGCATTCATATGTAGATTTTGAAACATTTTTATATCATTCCGAAAGTTAGAAAATAAATGCGTATATACTCAAAACTCTGTATTCTGTCATAAATCACAGGGATTTGGACTGTTTGGTTACTTAGTAATAGGCTCAAATTTCTGAAGACTTGCTACTGAAAATCACAGTGGTAAGAAAGGTGTTCTTGCTTTTCAGTCTGCATGTGTGGCAGAAAAGCTATAGTTTTATCTTACTGTCATGTTTTTTAGCTCTAATGCTTCTCTGTCATTTTTGTTATTTTCACTGGTATTTCAAAGTTCACATATGTTCAGTGTCCATTAAGAAACATGATTCTTCCCTTCAGAAGCCTGAGTGATATTAATAGCCTATCAATGTTTATGCAGTGTTTGTATGATGCAAATTGATATGCAGATCTGAAAGTTATGTGACTCCAGCGGAGTCTGGAGGACATAGATTGACAAACTTGTGTCACTTACTGTTAACACATGCTTGGTAAATATATCAAAATATATCCAAAAAGGGATAAAAGACAGTTTATGTGAAATTTCCATTGATTTGAACTACTAATAATATTAAAGCAGCCATTGACATGGGTGTACTTTTACTTATTCCGAAGATACTTATGTATTAAAAAAAAAAAAATACAGTAATGTGGAAAGGCATATGAGTTTATCATTACAGTTTTTATTCACATCGTTTATGCCATAGAAATGTAACTTAAATTTGGGTTGTCTGTTTCTTCAGATCTACCAGCAAGGACATGGCTTCAAATGAAAGAGAGATTGTGGTTTGGGTTTGCCAGGAGGAGAAGATTGTATGTGGTCTGACAAAGCGCACAACTTGTGCAGAGGTGATTCAAGCACTACTAGAGGAACACCAGGCGACATTTGGAGAGAAAAAGGTCCTTTTTGGAAAACCCAATGATTACTGCATTATAGAAAAATGGAGAGGTTCAGAGCGAGTCCTTCCTCCTTTGACAAAGATTCTGCGGCTTTGGAAGGCCTGGGGAGAAGAGCAGCCTAATTTGCACTTTGTGTTGGTAAAGTCTGATGCTTTCCTCTCATTTCCACTGTGGAAGACAGCTGAAGCTAAGGTAGTACAAAATGTGGAAAAGCAGTGGGAACTCAGCCCAGCAAATTACATGAAGATGTTGCCAATAGACAAGCAAAAGAAAATTGTCAGGAAGACTTTTCGGAAACTGGCCAAACTTAAACAGGACAGTGTTCAGCAAGAGAGAGATAATATGGAGACGTTGATTCATCTGATCATTTCTCAAGATCATACGATTCATCAGCAAGTCCTTAGAATGAAGGAACTAGATATGGAAATTGAAAAATGTGAAGCAAAATTCCATCTTGATCGTGTAGCCAATGATGGAGAAAATTATGTGCAGGACTCTTATTTACTGGTCAATCCAAACGAAGCTGAGCAGCAAGCAACTAGACCAGATGATCAAAAAGAGATGCATGAATATTTGAACAAAAGTGAGGGAATATCACAGGTTGAAGAGAGATTGAAACATCACAAGCAATTAATAGAAAAGCTTTGTTCTGAAATTGAAAAAGAAGTACATGATATATGCAAAGAAAAAAACGCAGATGATGTACACACAGAAGGAGCTACTAACGCTGAACTGGAAAACTCAAATTTGGAAAGTGTAAAATGTGAACTGGAGAAAAGTATGAAAGATGGTCTGAGAATCAATTCATACTTGAGCTGCATTCAGAAAGAGCTTACATACAGGGACTCATTGCTTCAAAAAAAGGAAAAAGAATATGAACTTCTTGCAGAAGAATTTAATTTACTGCATGCTAAAGACAACGTGGAATCTAGGCTTCCACCAAATGAGGAGCCATCTAAGGGCTCTGGAAGCTCCAGCATTGCAGTTCCTGACTTTGTTCACAGAGTGACTAATTTGGACATAAATGATACAGATTCTGACACTGGAATCAGCTCCACCCACAGCCAGGACTCTGAAATAACTTCAGGGGACATGGTCCTGTTATCAACATAGTTGAAAATATTCACACATTTATAAAAGAAAATCCATCTTTTGGTATATCTTTGGGAGGATATTTATAAACATTAGTAAGCTTTACTGTCTTCAGAGTTCAATGTAAACAGTGTCTATTTATATGCTTAAAATTATAGTTGTGCTTAAATGCATAGACAGTATCATGGGTTAACTGCTGGTAGGTGCAAGGTTGTTAGCTCTGCTAAATCAGAACAGTGTTTAGAACTTGTAATATTGATACTCGGTGAAAGAGTAGCATTCTGAACAACTGAGACCAAAAGTCTAAGGGATTTGATATCTTTTAATCTTTGGGTCCACTTTACATCTCTGTAACATGTTTGGAATGTGAATTAGAGAATAGCTTAAACCAGACAGAGAGCTTGATTTTTCTGCTCTGTTACATTATCTTCATCCAACTGGAATTTCCCTGTCATGAAGCTGCTGTAAACGTGTATGTAAGCTATTTAAAAATAGTTTTCATGATACTGTAGGACAAAAAAAAAAAAAAAGAAAAAAAAAAAAAAAGACCACTACCAGCCCCACTCATCTACTGTCATCCTTTGGCTGCCTCAGTGATGCTTAAGTCCACATTGTATCTGCCAGCAAGCATGTCAGAACCACCTACAGCTTGCTTCGCCTTGCTAGTGAGCTGCTCAAATCCCTAGTTCGCACCAAAGCCCCAGGGGCATCTTCATGAAGGTGCTCATTCTCATGCCTATCCCACCAGCAGAATCCTATCTCTTAGACCTCCTCCAACTGTGACTACCAAATCAAGCGCAACACAAGAGATAGGCAGGAACGAGACGTTTTTGACTCTGTCTGGAGTCAGTCTGGTCAGGTAGTTAAGGTCTTCATATAAACCCAGTTGCGTACTCACTTAGAGCATGGATAGGAACCTATGTTTCATGCTTTCTTGGTGAGGGCATCAGGGTATTATGCTGCAAATCTCATCTTTCATGTTAACACTAATCCAGTTTATATTAGTGACTAAATAGTGGGGAATGAAAAATGAAAGAAATACAAAAGGTGAGAATTTTTGCAAAAGGGTGATTAAGCCAAATGGTGCAACACTAGGATGTTGTGATTATCCTTCTCCAGTTTCTGAAAGTCCCAAGTTGAGATTCATAAACCGCCTCAGTAACTGAGTAAGATTTCTAACTCCAAATTAGCGACTGCTAACAGGGGAGGATGACTATTTCTGGATTGTACCCTGAAGGTTACCATGTTCATATTTTATAGATCAGTCTAAAGTCTTGAAAATTTATTCTAAAATGTAATTAAATTAATTAGGAGGTACCACTTCTTCCTCTAAACAAAATTTAACTCCAGCAAAGCTCAAGCAGATTCCAGAATTGAAAGCCTACAGAGTAAATGAAAGACAATACTTAGATGATATAAATGTAAAATAATTTCAGGCACATTGGTTTTATTTCCCATATTTTGAACTATTTGGGACTTTGGTAATGTCTGTTTTTTTCTTATTTTATGTGTTAGAAACTGTCTATTTGCTAAAATGACCAAAGTGCTAGGGCTGCTGATTAACACATATTTGACATGGAGAAAATCTTTTCAGAAAAGCAGATTTTTGTGTCTTTTTAAGATTTTGGAATCCTGGATATTTTAAAAGGAGTTTGTGTTCCAGGAATATGTACTAGCTGCATTAATATATTTTATGTTATGTTTTTGTCTTACAACATTATTTGAACACTTCAGTAATAATGTCATATTTAGACTCATTGGTTCCTAATGGAAACTCATGTATCAAATATACTATCTTAACTTTGTAATATTTATTAATGCAACTCATCATTTTTGATCTCTTTGCTCACTCTGACAAGTAGAAAGCACAGATTTCTGAATGTTGAGAGTAGGCTAATGTATTCTATGAGTTTTTTTGTGAATTTAGTTAACAATTATTTCTGAAGAATCTTTTTATATATATAAAAATAACTTAGGAATAAAAAAATCAAAGAGAATAATATTCACTGCTGTGCAGGCCAGTACAAAATCTGTGGGGGAATTTGCCCTCTACCAGATGTTTTTTACCCACAGGAATTTGTGCTGTTCTCAGAAGTGATTTTTGTGCATACTATGTGCTTGACTGTACATTCCCTGCAATGTGTAGACTTTAAGAGTATTACTATGTTTTAAGAAGAAAATAGGAAGAGTAGCTGGGAGAGAATATTTCTTTAAAAAAAAAATAAAAATTAAAAAATCCACAGTGGTTTGAAGTTTATATCTTGCTATCTCGGGCAAACATGTTTCTTTGTGAATTTAGATGAATGCAAAAGACAACTAAATAGTGTGTATGCGCTTTCCTGGTTAGTTGCTTCTACACTTTACATATACTTTGTAACCTGTGAACCTCTTTTTTAGGTTGCTGAACATATCATTTATAGACCTTTCTGCTCCCCAATTAACCAATCATCTCTTGTGTTCACTGCCTGGAATTTTTTTTTTTTATTTCCATAAGAAAATATAAAATCAAACACTTCAGCTCCTTTAATTCCATCTCCATATGATTGTTTTATGTTGCAAAAATTTCCACCGAGTATGTTGTACTAACTCGCAAGGAGGAAGATCACAGAGTTCCTGCATAAGAAGAGAGAAAAATTCAACACAGGGGGTGGAAATGTATATGTCAGTGTGAAATAAAAGCAAATTCAGCCTGTCACATTGATCTGTACAAAAGAGTTTTGACAGAAAGGTAGATGTTGTTTAGAGGGAGAGGAATAACAAGGTGAGGAGGTGTCATGACTGTTTTGGGATGGGATAATTTAATTCTTGGTATGAACCTAGGCAGAGATCTTCAGTGTCACTGAAACAGATGGGCTTGACAACTTGGATCCTACATATGAAAAGAGTATCACATATATATTTGTAACCAGTTTAACACACTGTATACCCAAATCTCATGTTTCTACATGATTTATGATGTGCTTTTTACAAATTTGATGAAAGCAAATGAGTCAGTTTAATTACCAGCTTCAGTCTTTGATGACTCTTGCCTTTAGAAGGCAAATATAAGAACATAATTACCATTTGATTATATAGAAATTTACAGTATTTACCCTCTATTTATATGTACTTCAAAGTTAGTGTAATTACAACATGACTTGATTTTTTTTTATTCTGCAAAATTGAGCAACCCTCAAGAAATTTTATCACTTCCAAATTATTGATTTTTTTTTGTCTTCAGATTCAGCACTCAGGGATTGTTTTAATAGCTGTCATTTGCCCCACACATACATACAGAGTACTAACACAAAGTATCTAATTATATAATACTGCAACTTTCAAAGAAATTCAAAAAGAGCTTTAACTTTCAGCATTAGACTGCAAAGATAAACATGCTTTACCATTCACTCCTTTTCAATGATCACCATTTGTTAACTTTTGTGTATTCCCAAATATATAAATAGAGGGAATGTAACAAATTCTATAACAAAATCTTATTATTTCTACTTAATTATGTTCAGATTATTGGAAGGACAAAGAACCAAATATATGAAACTACTCCAGCAAAATGCTGAATTAGATACTCCTATCTTTAAATAAATAGTAACTTGAAAGATTTTATGTGATGCATATCTCATTTTTTTAATAATGTGAGCATTCCATGCTAGGTTTTTAGTACGCTTGTGACTGTTCAATCTGTTATAAAGTTGCTTTCTATTTAAAAATAAAAAATCTCACCAAACACTATTTCTGTAGTTAAATATTGTTTCTAAGTGATAAATATTTCTCATTAACAATGTAGGTGAAATACACACCAAAAAAACCCAGAAATCTGTAATTCTAAGGGCTTTTTTTCTATGCTTGCATTAGACTATTTATTCCTGCTTTGCCAGTTTAGTTAGCTTGTAAATAAATGACTGTTTTCTTCAGTAGCATCTTAAATATAATGATTACACATATTATTTTTATATATATATATATTTCCCACAGTGGTGGTGGTTATTCTCTGGATATGTTACTGCAGCATTTAAAAGATTTCTTTTTGACATTTTACAATTTCTAGAAATAAATTGCTGCCCAGTACTCTTCTTAGAGCTTCATTTGACAACATTATCATAATTCGAAACAAATTTGATGAGATTTTTAGTGTCTATAGAGTATAATCAGGTTTTTACATACATTAGAATCAGAAAAAAAGAAAAATTCTGAAATGATTACAGTGATTTTAGAGTGTATATTTTGATTTAGATTCTATTTCTTTTGTGATAGTATTTCTTAAAATGTCATAGTATCATTCCAAAGAATTTCTTATAAATTTAACAATCAATATTATATTATTTCATAGTCTCATGGGCCTTTCTCAAACAAAACTTTTCTTTACTGAAGTGAATTTCTTCTAAAGAGAAGACTGCTGAGATATAAGTATATGCGTTAAGATTTTCTTTTTGATACTATACAGTTTCTAATATTTTCTTACTGTGTTTTACTTCAAACATAGCTTTTCATAGGGGTACTTACAGATCAGTTACTTGGAATCAGGTTTCTGGCTAGGACAATAGGTTGCATCTAGGACAATTCAGGTCCCACTGGATTTCAGTCACTATCCATAATGTTTTCCAAGTTTTAAGGAAACATTGTTGTACAACAGGCATATACTGAGATTTGAGCAACATTAAACTTTTTCTGAATTTTGAATCAGATGCTTAACATTTATACTACATGTACTTGTCAGGAAAAAAAAAAATCTCAAAATTCAAATATAACTAGATTTCCTAAGAGTTTTCAATTTTATTTACCTGATATTGGAGAGTATTCTTATTAACAGTTTCTCCAAAAAAAAAAAAAAAAGAGCAGTTCATTTTCAAAACATTTACAGTAAGGATATCAGTCTGTCGACTATTAGTTTTGTTAGCTGAATCCCACATAATGCTTAGAAAATATAATCCAACACAGGGTTTTTCTTATGCAATGACTATATGCAGATTTGGCCTGACTAGCTGGTTGATTGAGATTTTAATTAATCTGATTAATTGGAAAATTAATCTATGATGCTCAGTATAAGTACTGCTAAGTATTGAGGATGGTCAGTCTTATCCATGCAATGTTCATTATGTCCATACTTCTACTTTTCTTAACTACTTCAGGAGGTGGATCACATTTTCTCTAGAATGCTTTCTATGATCAAATCTCTCTCTTTAATTTTATGTTTATTTACAGTTTGTTTTAGATACAGATTCTTGTTTCTGAGTGTGCATTTATATTACAATGATAATTAAGTACTCACATTACTACAAAAATATTGATAAAATAGATACATGTAAGTCTTTGGAGAAGTCTGTTGTTTAAATCTCAGTTGGCAAAGTCTATTTCCCTCTTACTAGTTTGATTATCATAGGTTGCTCTTACCTTTACTCTGCTTTATGTTAAAAAAAAAAAAAAAAAGTTGTTGTTGTATTTAGGTAACAAAGGAATGTCTTGATTTAAATATTTCCAACATTATTTA